ATTTTCAAATTTTCAAGCAATTACGATCCCCAAATTTACCTCTATTCGGAGATCAAAATGATGGTATTGACATGGTAATCATTATTAAATATACGAGTTAATAAAAATTTTGAATTATATTTCACCGACACAAATACAACTGTTTACCGTTACAGGAAAATTTATGGGCACAAACCGAAAAAAGTCATGCTATTATAAATGCTCAAATTCCGGGGCAAGATTTTTCGTCACTAAAATTTGAATTTATTCTCACTGACGTAATTGTTATATTAAATTTTTAAGCGTTCTATATACGATATTTATTGTGAGCCACTTCCAAATGATATTAATACTTATTACGCGTCAAATGAACTCGATTCAGTGTTTCGAGACAATTTTAGAGGACAAAGTAGCGTTAGAAATACTTCTGAACAAAATGTGTTTGTCGAGGTAATAAGTTTACGTCAAAAAAAAATTTGGATTTATTTTCACTAAGGTATTCATTATACTGTATTAAAATTTTAAGCTACACAATGGCACACTGGATTTTAGTGGAGAGAATTCCGTGTTGGAGATGTTAGAGGTAAGATAAAGTTAATAAAAATCCAAATTTATTTCCACTAACACAATCATATTAAATTCGATTCGAAGGGTGTTAATGGAATGCATATTAGTGAAACAGGTTCTCCTGACAATGGTTCTTGTAATTCCCTCGGGAATTTTAGCACCATTCCCCAAAGAGCTCGTAGATCTAGACGGGAAAGCAACCGTCGCTATTATCTAAGACATCAAAGAAGAAGGATGAGACGATTAGCCCTTCAACGACATTAGGGCTATAAACAATCTCAGAGAATAAAAACTTTGAGATTTTCGAGAGAAGGTGTGTGTATTACAACCAAGAGAAATATATACATACATACATACATACATACATATATATATATCTTTTTTTTTTTTTTTTTTAACTTAGACGGTCTCCAATACTTTTTATTAAGCATTTTGGCATTATCCAGCTACCTCGTGGGTGCCCAGATGCAACACGCCGACTAGTTTTAAATTTCAAACTATATAGAAGGTTATATTAGACTAGCCTAAAAGCCATACAAAATGGCTTCTGTCTACGTATTGTATTATCTTTTAATTATTATGATCCTTATTAGTTTAGCGTATAAAAGTTTAAATTGATAATCAAAATGTATATCAGTTATACTGTATATATCTATATATACATTTATACTGTAATTAAAAAATTTGGTGGAAATTTTATTTCAACTCAATCTAACGGATAATAAAATAACAAAGTTTAATTTAGAATAAGTAGTTGTCGCTCAA